CATAGGCCCTTTTATATTTCAAGGAGCAAAAACCAAACGAAAAGAAAGAGAATAAGAACACGAAATCAATCGCGGTCTAACACTACTACGTGCCCGGACCACCCCCCGGAATTACCCTCGACTACAATTACTACTGGGACTACTACTACTACTACTACTACTACTACTACTACTACTACTACTACTACTACTACTACTACTACTACTACTACTTCTTCTACTACTACTACTACTACTACTACTACTACTACTACTACTACTACTGCACTCCGTACACCGTGCATTCGTAAATGCGAACTGCTGGGAAACACCTACTACCCCCACCACTCTCACCTCCACGGTGCAATAATTCACTTTCCGGGGACCACGCTGGCTAATATGTGTTCCAAGCAAGCACTTCCCCAAGCGCAGGGCACCAACCCTGGGCCCAGGATCGGCCTGGGCAGGATCCCAGGAATCCAGCGACGTGGTATTCGTACAGAGCGCGCCCCCAGAAGTCACGACCCCCCCCCCTCCCCCTCGGGGGAAATGTCTCGTCCCCGATCCGTCCGTCTTGGGGGCCCGACAACGGGCCCCATGGGAGCCGAAATCGAGGAACAACTGCATCGTTTAATTGATCCTTATCCCCGCTGGTGTAGCCTTGACCCCACTGGCAGACTTACCCCCCTAGTTGGGGATATATGCTGTTCCCTCCGGGTCTCGAGGGACATACCCCCAACTGGGGGGATGGTGGGGCTGAGATAACATTGCCCAACGAGGATGTGGATCGGTTGCACGATGCTGAAACACGCAAGGGCTGACAAAACCATATCGTGGGAAATAATTGAGAAGAGACCGACCGTCCAGGCATTCCCATAGGTCAACCACGACATGTTTTCAGAACGAAGGGCTGTTCTAATAGCGAAAGCAATATGCTTAGAACATGAGGCCGACGTGCTAAAACAGTCGGGCCTCAGACAGACATGAGCCAAAAACATCTCGTTCAAATAACATTCGATTTGGCGGGCCTATATAGGCAAGCCAGGACGCCGCGCCATTGTTTGAGACCTGGGATCGGCGAGGTGGTCGGTGGAAGGTCCCCCGAGACGACCGCCATGATGCTCAAAGCGACCGCGCCCAGGAACGCGGCCCTCAGGACACCGGCCATGGCCCCCAGCGACCTGCGGGGCAGGACGTGCGGGGTTCCCTCTGGGCGGCGGCCGAGGGGCCCACATCGCAAAGCACGAAGCTCGGCCGGGACGGCTTGTACCCCTGTGGATACGGTGGGTTCGTGCGGGGTCGGCGCGCGCAACGGTTTTTGACACCGCGCCGATCGGTCAACCTTGAAGCGGTCGCGACCCCAATCGTTCAAGGGTCACTTCCGTCGGGACCAATGGCGTGACAGTGTTCCTCGGTGTCTCCACGTCGCTCGACCATGCGAAATTAAACCTTCGCCGGCGTCGCCATCACGCAATTGACGTATGAACCTGCCATACGTAGGGGGGAAGAAAACCCTGAGATCTTGAGGCTGCAAATCTTCAACACCAAGCGTTCTTGTCCAATTTCGGGCCCAGGGGCCATCCCAGATCAACCGGGCTCGAAAAGCGCCGCAGAGGGGTGAGGTCTAGGGCTTCACTCGCGTTTGTTTTTTGATGCTGCATATTAGTTTGCAACGTTGGGAGACTGAGAATCGTGCCAGCGCGCGGGCCCCACAGCTTCAAGCAGCCCACTGTGGACCGAAGACGGCCCAAAGGGCCCATGAGATGCCCCAGAAAAGCCCCCATGGCGCCCACAAGAGGGCCTCAAAGCCAAACGACATCCCCCATTCACTGGGAAACGTATACTTTCAGCCTGTAGGCTGAAAGACCCGCACATCGCCCCAAGACAACCCACAGGGCTCAAGAGAACTCCCCGGGGGTTTAGATCAGGGGGGGGGGGGGTAGATCACAAGCCTTTCGGGAATGTGTGTGTCTATAGTTTGATGGATAACGCTTGGGTATTGATAAATATCAGTTGGGATATGGCGGTGATGATGACGGCGGTGATACCGATGGATGGTGATTGTGATGGTGAGAATCAGGATGGGAGCTGGTGGAGTCGATGATGTTTATAATGCGAGGTGACGATGGTGAAGACGATGTCGTTGATGGCGATGATTTTGATGATGGTGGACATGGTTGTGGGAATGATGATGATGTTGCCGACGGTGATGACGACGACGGCGACGCTGTTGATGTGTTCTTGTTTTCCCAAAGCGCGTGCTGAATCAGTGCGGCAGCTGGAGGCCCACATGACACTCTACCACACCCAATGCCCACAAAATCTAGCAGGAGGCCAATGCCACTCTTCCACACCCGATGTATGTTCATAGCTGCCTGCATCAAGGATGGCAGCACCTTCTGTTCTCATCTAGCCACCTGCGCAGCAACGCTTCGTCTCCTTCTGGCGTCTGCACGAGCACTCGAAACAGCGGCGATCGATTTGCCCACGCGTTTGACGCGGTATCCCAGACGCGCATCTCCCACGACGCCGCGTCGCGTAAACCAGGGCTGTAGCGAAGCGGGAATTGACCGTGCAATCGGCCGCGACGCCCACGCCCAACTGTAAGTGTAAACCAGGCCTGGAATAACATGTGGTCCATGAACATGCATTCCTCCTGGTGGCGGGGGGGGGGGGGCGCTGGTGGTGGTAGCGGGGGCGCTGGCGCTGGTGCTGGAGGTGTTGGCGCTGGTGCTGGCGGCGGCGATGGCACTGGCGCTGGCGTTGGCGCTGGTGGCGCTGGCGGTGGTGGAAGCGATGGCGGTGGAGGGGGAGGTGGCGGCCCACCTGGGGGGTGGCTTGCCGTGGGCCTCGGCTTAGCCCTCGCCTCGGCCGTTGTCTTTGCTTCCTTCTGTTTCGGGCCCGCAGGGCCCAAGCCGGCAAGTTCCCATTCCTGGTGCAGTTTGCATTCGGCGCATCGGCGCCTGATCTTTCCCTTCTTAATAGCTTCCAGGACCTCTGGGAATTCGCTCGTATCTTCAGCGCCGAGGCCCTCGAACATTGCCTCGACCAGCGCGTCGTCAAACGCTGAGGTGCATTGTGCGCCGGCCGCAAAGGACTTGTAGATCATGTCGCGCGCGGTGTTGGCAGGGTCGTCGGGGCTCAGTAATTTACCAATGGCGCTGCAAGCTTTCTTCGGAGTCGTCGCCCCGTCGGGCGCGTCAGCATCGCCGATGAAGAGAGCGCGCTTCAAGGGGTCGGTAAATTTCAACGTGTTAGCGGACGTCGTCAGCGAGAGCCTCACGAGACAATCTGGCCCTGTGAATTGCCTCGCGGCAATTCCAATGTCGGTCGGCGCGAAGGCCGCTGCAGGGGCGACATCCCAATCGGATGGGCCCGCGACGTGGAGCCCAGCAACGGTTGCTGCAAAGCAAACTTTCAAGGTGGCAAGCCCGCGTTGCAGCAATTTTGCCGTCTGCGTCGCCCTGCTGATCAAGCGCGTGGCCCGAATATCCCACACCGCGAAAGCTAACCGTAGAACGCAGAAACACCAAACCCCAATTCCCATACTTTAAAACCTGAAGCGGCCGCAGCAGTCGAGGATTAAATGCCGCGCAACATAATTGCCGAACCCCTGTCATTGGCAAGTGCGAATTACGTCGCGTCCTCGAAGACGCCGCAGTGCAGCTGCCAGCCCAAGAAGGCCCACGCGTGGTGGCCGAAGGACAACCAGAAACGATCTCCGCACAGTGCGACTTGTAGAGCTGGGCGCGAGCTTCGCGAAACGGGCCGCGCCAGGGCTCACAGAATTGCCCGCGCGCCCACGGAGCCGATATTCGCGCAGTCACGCCCATGCCGCTGCAGCCTTGTTCGCCCGCCCCTCGCCCACGGTAGGCCATGCGCTTCTGTCAAGAATGTTGGGCCAGCTCGTCGGTAACTTGCGCTTGCAGCTCCTGGACTTCGCTGATGTAGCTTTTCTTCAGCCCCTTGAACTTGTCGACGAAATCTCGCATACCCGCGCCTGGCTCGCGAAGCGAACCGCGCGCCTCGAAAACTCCGCTTGCTGTTTGTTTGAATTCGCCCGAGCATCCAGCCGCAGCGCGCCGCGGGTGTCTCCAACTTCTGTTGTCCGCCGTTGCCCAAAGCGCACCTTTTAGTACATGTCTCCCAGCGAACGACCTGCGGCCACACTTGTCGCGGGATCAGAATTCAAGCAATGTCCCGGCAGGCTTACCCTTTGCAATCAGGGCCACGTCGTTCCACCGCGCATGTGCTGCTGCATTAGTGCGCCGACCATCCTCCAGAAACAATAGGCGTTGATGGTCCGTAAACATAATCGCGCAGGCTCCGTCGGCGACGCGCGCGGATGTTGACGCCGCAGTTGCATCGCCATCAGGAGGCAAGCTGTGCGTGCTCATCCATATTTTATTCTGGACAATATGCAGCGTCAGCGATAATGCCTTCGTGGCCTTGTCGCTCCCCCCTGGGTGCATGCCCATGAGCGTCAAATTGCCACTGTCGTAGAGAGTAGCGTGAACTGCGTTCCACGCGCGGTCCTGGAACTGCCACCCGCCACTGGGCCAAGCTCATCATGTAATTGAACGCGTGGTTCGGCGTCTTGGTCGTTGAAATCTGCTCTGTGTACCAGTCCCAGAATGGATTCTCAGCTACCTGTCGGACACAGGCGCGCAGCGTCCACGGCCACGCACGCGCGCGCCCAATGCATCTGCAAATGTCGCGGTTGCGGCATGCCGAACCGGCTGGTTGCAAGCCGACTTGTCAATCTGAACGGCCTGCCGCATACATCTCACTTGCGACTCCCATTGGTCGTGCATGTGTGATTGTGGGAACGGCTCGCCCATGTCCCAGCCTTCGTGACTGTCGAATTATCGTGCAACGATGCCGTCATGAGCCTGCAAGCTAAACGCAGGCCACCTCCAGCTTTCAACATGTGCATTAGCTGCGCCGGAAGATTCCTGTCCGCAAAAGAACCGTTTGAGTCGGGATCGGCGTCGTCCAGTTCTGACTCCAGTTCGTCCACACACCCACACACATGCTCACGCTCACGCTCACGCTCACGCTTACGCTCACTTACACTTACACTTACAGTTACACGTGCACTTGTACTTACACGCACAAACGCACACGCACACACGCACACGCACACGCACACGCAGCCGCACACACCCACATTCACATTCACACACACACACACACTCACACACACACAAACACGCACACGCACACGCTCACGCACACACCTAGGCACATGCGCAGGCAAACACACAGGCACAGACACAGACACGTACACAGACGCAGCTACAGAGACAGACTCACAAGAACAGGCGCAGATGCATACGCACAACACACACACACCGATCTATCGATATATACATTTATATATGTATACATTTATATACATATGTTTGTATGCATATGTATATATATATATTACACATATATATGTGTGTATGTATGCATACATCAGCGTAGCTGCTAATATGTGAGAGAGCGTGATCCACCGCCGTTTTACTGCGGAAAATTGCCCCCCCTCTCTTCCTTTGGAACCCGGGCCCCCCCCCTTCCGACCCCCCCCTGCTGGACCTCCCCCCCCCCTCCCCCCCTCCCCCGGCAAAACCCCCTCCCTCCCCTAACCCCTCCCTCCCCTCGAAAGCCGGGGGTGGTCACTACCAGTTCGAACCCCCCCCCCCTCGAAAACCGGAGGGGGGGTCACTACCGGTTCGAACCCCCCCCCCCACCGCCAGCAAACGACTCCCGGTCCCTACCACCGTCCGCATCACATCCCCCACTGTTGTTCCCAGCGCCACTGTCCTCACCACCACTGTCCCCACTGGTTCCACCACCGTCCCTACTGTCCCCACCAGTGCCCCCACCACTGTCGCACTGTCCCCACTGTCCCCACCACTGTTCCCACCACGGTTCCACTCTCCCCACTTTCTCCACGGCCCCAACCACTGCCCGACTATCCCCACTGTCCCCACTGTCCCACTGACTCCTCCGCTGTCCCACTGAGCTGTCCCACTGTTCCCACCACTGTCCCCACCACTATCCCCACTGTGCTTCTGTCCCATTGTCCCACCGCCGTCCTCGCCACCGCCTTCACCACTGTCTCCACCACCACTGTACCCCCACTGTCCCACTGTTTCCACCTCATTCCCACTGTCCCCACACCACTGTCCCCACCACCACCGTCCCCACCACTGTCCATTGTCCCCACTGTTCCCACCATTGTCCTCACCACTGTCCCCACCACTACCGTCCCCAGCACTGTCCCACTGTCCCCACCATTGTCCCGCTGTCCCCTCGCCACTGCCCCCACCACCACCACTGTCCCCACCACTGTCCGCACCCCCACTCGGTTTTCGAGAGGGGGGGGGTTCGAACCGGTAGTGACCCCTCCCGGTTTTCGAGGGGGGGGGGGGAAGGGTTCGAACCGGTAGTGCCCCCCCCCCCTTTTCATGATGAACTGGGGTGGGGGGGGAGGGGTTCGAACCGGTAGTGACCCCCCCAAGTTTTCCGGAAGGGGGGGGAGGGGTTCGAAGTGGTAGTGACCCCCCCCGGTTTTCCGCCAGCAGCGGTAGAACACGCTCTTTCTAATTGACGTACCACGCCTGCCTTGGGTACGGGCTCTGTCGCTGCTGGCTGCCAAGAAGCGGCTATTCGACTGAGACCCTGACAGGGGACTGGTGGGCTCGACTATGATGCCGCCGATGCCCACTTCGTAATGTTGAGCATACACTGCCCTCTTACAAGCCACAGTGGACTACGGTGCCGCTGGAGAGGAACTAGTCATGCTTGTGCACAACGCAACATACCAGCTCGAGCACAACTCAATATTACCCTCAGGGTCGGGCGGGGGCAGCATGCAAGGCATACAACTAGAAGGAACACACCCCTGCCGCAAGAACGCGTTGAACTGACGCAGCTAGGGGCCACACGCGGCACTCGCAATGCGGCAAGCTCATATGGCGAGGCCATAGGCGGCACTGCCCTTCACCTCCAGCGCAACGACGCCCCAACCACAACTGGTGGAAATAATCGAACAGCCCAAGCCCGAGCCGTCATCGAAGACGGGGGGGAAACTATGAGATTCGAGGTAACCTGCAATGTCGTGACGACCCGCTCGGCCTGGGGCTCATAGGATCGAGGAGGGAAAGGAGCAGGATTACGAGGAGCGAGGCGGGTCGAATAATAACATCACACACACACGAAGGTAGATTCTCGCCATGAAGTTTGGTAAGTACATGCTACCGCGTTGAACCGATGAACTTGTAAAGATACCTGCTGTCGGGGATCCCAAGAAAACCCCGAACTCTTGAATGTTGAACGCCCGCGCCCACGATGCCACTGTCGGTGCGACACTGTCCTGTTGTGAAAACAGCACGCGCTCGCAGAGACAAGCCAGCTTGTGCCAGACAGGAGGCGCAGCACGAGCAAGTCAGGCCACAAGTCCAAGCCAGTCTCAAGGTTGCGAGACCTACTAGCCGCGCGGCCTCACACCTCCTCCCCCTTTCGTCCTTCCTGTTTCCTCCTGCTCCGTTTCGTTTTCCTCATCGTCCTCCCTCCCCCTCCTCCTACTCACCCCCTCCTCCTAGACCCTCATCCTTCTTCATCGTCTCCCTCCGTCCCTCCTATCCATCCTTCGCCTCCTCCTACTCCTTCCCCCGATGCATAGTTTTCCTTATTCCTCGTCTTTTCGGCCTCCTTGTGTTATCCTCGTAAACCTCGTCGTCCACCACCTGGCTACACCCCCGTCCCCTCCGTGTCCCCCATCGCCCTCACACGCCGAGCCAAATGCCCTCTGCTGGGGTGCGTTCGAGGCGAATCCAGGCGTGATCGCCCCAGGCGCCCCCCCCCAGGGCAAAATGTTTGCCGGCGTGGACTCCACTCAGTGAAGGTGATGTGGTGCACGCGAGGTAGTGGTGTAAGCTGCGGGGCTGCGTGGTGCAAGTGAACTGTGTGGTGCAATCTATGTGGCGTGGGCGATGAGGTGCAAGCTATGTGGTATAAGTTATGTGGAGTAAACCATGTGGCGCCCACGGCCGCTCACCAAGCGACACCTCGCCGGACCCGCCGCCCACCGGGCAACACGTCGCAGCACCCGCCCGGCGTACGAGGCGCCAACGAGGAGGAGCGTCCACGAGGCGCCCACGGCAGCCTGCCAGGCGAAGCCTCACCGCACTCGCCCAGCACACGCAGCGCGCACGAGGCGACAACGGCCGCCCACCAGGCGAAACCTCGCCACACCCGCCCAAAGCATGTGGCGCCCAGGAGGCGCTCACCAAGCGGCACCTCGCCACACTCATCACATTCCTTCTTTTACGAAATAAGGAGCCCTACGTGCAAGCACCGTTTGGAGAGCCGCGGCATGAAACCTCCACCCTCGATCCCTCGATCTTCGATTCTCCTCCTCTCCTCCCCCTACATTTCCTTAACCTCCTACTACTTCCCTTTCCCTTCCGCTTCTCCTACGTTTCCTCCCTGTCCTCCTGCCCCCCCTTCCCACCCGTTCGCCTTCTCTCCCCCGTCACCTCCCAACTCCGCCACTGTGTCTTCAAAACGTAATGGAGTGCCCCAAGGCCCATACAGATGCGAATGTTCAGAGGATTGAATGATTGCTGAACCCCCCGAACCTTTGCCGCAATTCCTGGTCACTCCTGGGCGTTCCTGAGTTGTGCCTCGTGGGCCTCGTGGACGCCGAGTTCGCCAAAAAAGGCCCTAAGACTCTCCAAGAGTCTCCCCCGAGAGCCCCGGGAAGATCCAGGAAGACACCGAGAAGGCCGAAGAGTGCCCCGAGACGGCATCAAGACGGCCTAAGAGGCCATCCAGACGCCCCAAGAGGACTTCAGCATGCCAACAAATATCGAACTCCCATAACAACTGGCTGAATGATTTTAGCGTTCTCGCATTTCTGGATTCGGACATTCCCAGAGGCCCTCAAGAGGGCCTAGCGACAGCCAGCGAGGGCCCTCAGGCAGCCCAGGAGGAGGGCGCCTAGACGGCATTGGTCGCCTTTTCCCTAAATGTTGTCCCCAACACCGTCGACATGTCACCCAAAACCTCCCTCGAAGCTCCCAAGACGCCCCAAGAGGTTTCGTACCAACTTCCGAGAGGCCCCCGAAGAGACCCCGAGAGCCCCCTCAAGACGCACCCGGGAGGTATCACGACGGACTCCGACAACAGGCATCTAAGAGGACTCTGGCCCACAACCTACGCACGGTGGTGACACTAGCCGAAGGCCACCAGATTCTCCCCCCTTTGCCCAAGACCCTCCCTCTCTTCCTACCCCATTCCTCCTACACCAATCCTCCTCGACTCATACGTAGTCTTCTGCTTTCGTCCTCCTCCTCCTCCTCCTGTTTCCTCCTCCTCTTCCTCATTCTCATTATCCTCCTCCTCCTCCTCCTCTTCCTCCTCCTCCTCCCCATCCTCCCCCTCCTCGAAAACTGGCACTTGGACTTGTCTTGGGTTTCGTTCTGGACGAATTTCCGAGGCGGACCCATCTGCGGCGACGAGATGCCTCTCGGAAGATCGGGAAACATGCTTAAACAGTCCGGTCCTCGATCCTCGAGTCTCAATCCTCCCCCTCCCCCCTCCCCTTCCCCATCTCAGTATCCACCTTTTTATTATACGATCCCTTCCCCTTCCCTTCTCTTGCGTATCCACTTTCTCATCATGTTCCCCTCCTCCGACCCCTCGTCGATAACATTCCTCCTTTTTCTTCTTCCTCCTCCTCCTCCTCCTCCTCCTCCTCCTCCTCCTCCTCCTCTTCCTCCTCCTCCACCCTCAAAAACTACCCCCCGGACCTGTGAATGGGGAGCTGCGGACAGTAGTTCCATGGCGGATGCAGCCATGGCCTCAAGAGCGCCTCCCGGCGACCTAGGAAAAGCTAACAACGCCCAAAAACCTCAACGATCGAAGCTCGAGCCTCGAACCTCTAGCCTCGATCCTCTTCATTCTCCTCCTCCTTCTCCTCGCGCGCTCGCAACCTAGTAACAATCGAAAGAAACGCAGCCCATCCCGGAAAAACAAAAAGAAAACTCCACGCAAACAGTGGGCCTAACCTCATGGAGCCTTTAAGAGCTCCCCAAGGGTTATCGCTGGCACCGCACCAATATTTTATATTTTCGTGGGTGTCGTTTTCGCAGAGCGATACATTTAGCACCTTGCACAAAGCGCAACTGCAAAATCCGCGGCGCGTCGCGCGCCGCGCGACGCGCGAGGAAAAATCCTCGGGGGCGCACTTGGATACGCCGTGCATGTCCTAGGACATGTCACGGACCAGCCAAGTATTGCCTCGGGACTCCCCGGGGCCCGAGACTCTTGGGATACGCGAAACGCCCCGTCGCACGCCCTTGGGGATACTGAGGACATGCGACGGATGTGCTCAAGATGCCCTGGGGGCTGCCGCGCGTTGCCGAAGGCAGTTCGAGGATCCCCTACGAAATGCCAGGGCCCCCCATCGGAGATGCCAGGGATGTTCTGAAGATGCGCGGAGAATTCCCTGGGAAATGCGAAGCGCTTCCAAGTGGAACGATATGGATGTCCAGGGAAAATCTTGGAGGTTGCCCAAAAAGGCGCTAGGGGATTCCTCAGGCGGTCGACGAACCTAGACCGCCCACGGGGCCAAGAAGCGCGCGTTGGGCGCGCCAGACAGGGCCCGCGCGGACGCAGCCGGCAGGACCTTCGATGGAGCTCCCTGCGGGGCAACGAAACGCGCGAGGGGCCGCCGCTGCCTTCGCTCGCGCTCCCTGCGGGGCCACGAGTAAGACGAACGATAAGGAGAAAGGTACATATAATGATGATGATAAGAAGGGGCCAAAGAGGAGAAGCAAGAGCAGGAGGGAGGGGGGATGAGGGAGGGGCAAGAGGGAGGGAAGGATGAGGGGGGGGGTGGGGGGGGGGGGGGGAAGGCAAGAGGGAAGAAAGAGAAAGGAGGAAGGAAGGACTGGGGTTCACGTATGATCAGACTGATCAGGACTGGTCTCCGTGCAGACTGCAAACGCTGAAATAGGTGATCGTGTATTGCTGTATGATCAACATGCTGAGCACTGAAAGCACGCCCAGGGACTGCGGTCTTAACAGAATGCTGAGCACTGGAACGCGCCCAAGCACTGAGAGGACTGGAGCCAAAGAAGGCCCCTGGAAGGCGCGCTGCTGGGTGGCCCGAAGCGGCTCAAGAACTGACCTTGTGATTGATCCACTTCCGCGTCGTTCTGCTTCTGAACGCGTGCGAGAGCCCTCGCGCCGTCCCTGAGGGAGGATGTCATTGCGGAGCTGACGCGCTCGTGAGAAACTGACATGTCTGGAACCCTCTTGGACCGAAGCGACTACTGAAGAGGAAGGAAAAAGGAACTCTGGAGCTCCTTAGAAGGACCCCCATCAGCCCTTTAGGGAGCATGTGGTTTAGAGCGCTGTCTCGTCCACTCCCCTTTTCTCCCTGTGAGGAGGGGTTCACCTCGTCGCGTCAACTCGCCTGGGCGTCGTTTCTGGATGGGGCGGTGGGGGTTAGCGAAGCGTCAACCATTGTTGAAGACGTTTGTGGATGGGGTGGTGGCGGTTAGCGAAGCGTCAGGAATTGCTGAGGAACCCTCTGGGGGAACCAAAGGGGGGGAGGTGCGCGCTCACGGCCGAGAGCCTGGGATTGTCGTCCTCCTCGCCCCCCTCCCCCTCCCCCTCCCCCTCCCCCATCTCTCTCCTCCTCCTCCTCTTCCTCCTCCTCCTCCTCGTCCTCCTCCTTGTCCTCCTCCTCCTCCCCTTCCTCCTCTGATATTATCATTGCAATTCCCTCGGGGAGATTGGTTTTCGCGGGCCGTCCGAGGGCGGTGCCCATCCCAGGGCATCGCCCCCTCTCCCCGCACAGGAGCGTTATCTCAGCACCCGAAGACGCAGAAAATCCAGAGAGTTCGAGGAATTGACACACAATGAGTCTATATGTGAGTCAGTATGAGACGAAATCACAATAATACCAAACATGTGTGAATATAGTGAGAATACGAATATCATTGCGAAGAAGAGTAAGCACGATAATAATAAAACAATGCATACAATATCACGGCTAATAATAATACGCATGCGAATACGGAATACATTAAGAAATAAGATGACTTATGATACGTACGAGGGTGCACACGGGAGTAATAAAACGAATGTGAATACGATTAAGAAGGCGATTACGAATGCGAGTACACACAACACATAATGCGAATCAGCACAAGAAACAGAGTACGAATAAGTAGTACACATAATAAGTCGAATGCGAACACGAATGCGTATAATAGATATAATATGAACAAGACTAATAATCAGACGGACGGTAATAATACTGACTCAAATAATAAGAGCAATGCTCAGACTAAGAATATCGTGTAATACTACGAGTAAGCATAATACGTGCGAGTCCGGACACATATTTAAACGATGCATAATAAGAACAATAATAGCCATACTAGTCGTGCGAAAAAAAACATTCAGAATTCTACTACGGGTGATAATACGAATAAAATATTACTATATATATA